TACACAGATTCACTATTCTAGTCTACTTTCAAGAATGTTGAAAGTTTTAATGAAAAATTTAAACAGTATCCAGTATGGTGGCGTATGCCTTTAATCAAAGAACAGGAGAGGCAGTTGGATCTCTCTGAGTTTGAAGCCAGCCTGGTCTACAGAGTGAGTTCCAGACCACCCTGTCTCACAGGTAAATAAATGAATAAGAAAACAAAACAAACAGGATTGAGTACTCAGTAGCTGCTATGTTATTATCTTTTATTAAGGTACCCCAGAGTTGCCCATTCTCTAGAGTCCCAACCCTGAGTCTCCTGTCTACAATACAAGCTCAGTGTTAACCTGATCTAATTAGGGATGTAGCTTATCAACAGAAAGCCTGAGTAACAGCACAAAGGACTGGATTCAATCCCTAGTGTCATTAAAAAAAAAAAAAAATTATTTTTAAATTAAAAACTAGTCCTGTCATTCCCTGGTTTTACTGACCTTCATCTATTACAGGAATAAAATCATTGATTTACAATATAACTGTTTACTTTTAAAAACAAACAAAACAAAAACAGGATCTCACTTCATAGCATAGGCTGGCCCTCAACTAGCAGCTCTCTTGCCTCTGCCTCCTAAGTGCCCAGATTACGTATGTGAGCCATCTCAGGCTTCCTACTTTAGAAAGGCCCACTCATCTCCTGGGCCTCCACTCAGACCACTCTTCTCTTCAGGTTCTCAGCTGCCCCTCTGCTACTCCCCAGAGAAGCCGTACTCCGCCCTACCACAGCCTCATGGCACATGTTGTCCCTCCGACCCACCACATCTCTCCCGTCACCCTCCAGTGATCTTTCAGACCTCAACTCAATCTCTACTATTTCATCAAAGACCAGCCCTGCCCTAAAGCTAGGTAATTCTGCCACATATACACCCTTACAAGTCAGGCATGTATTTCTCCACAAGACTTACTTAGCAAAGGTACAATTTTAAAATTTGGTCATTTTTCTTCGGCACTGTATCCTTCATACTCAGCACAGGGCCTGGCCTAGACAGAGCAAATGTCTAGTAGGTATTTTGTTTGCTTTTGGTTTTTTAAGACAGGGTTTCTCTGTGTAGCTTTGGAGCCTGTCCTGGAACTCACTCTGTAGACCAGGCTGGCCTCAAACTCACAGAGATCCGCCTGCTTCCAAGCCTCCTGAGTGCTGGGATTAAAAGGTGTGCGCCACCACCGCTCAGCTGACTGGTAATATTGACTGAACCATCAAATGAGGGAAGGATAGTTCATTGACTAGTAGACACCTTCCACTGCTGCCGTACATAAGCCCGCACTGAAGAGCCCTGCCTCACAGTGCCGGACAACAAAATCCCGTGCTTCCCTCACCAGTCATCACCCACGTTGAAGGCGTTTAGGCTCTTGGTGAAACCCTGCATATTGGTGGGGCTCACTCTCTGCAGGAAGTCGATGTAGTCCTCCGAGTGGAAGCGGCACATGTCGTGCTGGGAGGCCTGATAGGGCTTGAAGACCTGGGGATGGAAGACAGAGGCTGATTATCTCGAGCACTGCCTGAGTACTAGTGGAATTTCTATATGGCCTTAATCTTATCTTTGAGGGCAGGATACCTACAGGGCAGGAATTCCTCCCAGGTGGACTAGCCAAAACAGGACCAGCCCATGAGAGACCAACTAACTAGACAAGACCTCACTCAATTATCACTCCTCGTAAACACGGAATGAGACTCCCAATGCCATGGCAGGTGACAATTGCCATGGAAACAACTGGAAAGCAAAAAAGGAAGAGAGTGCCTGAATTCCCAGAAATTTTCCTCCCAGTCTCAGGGAATATATATATATATATATTATATAATATATATAATATATGTATATATGTATATATAATCCCTTTTTATGTCTATTTCTCACTTCATTTTTACTCTATATCTATAAATTATTTTAATTAAAATTATATTTTAATATTTTATAATTTAATAATATTATATTTTAATTAAAATTTGTGTGTGTGTGTGTGTATGGATGGGGTGGGATAGGTGGGTATACATGCCACAGTGAAGTCAGGGATAACTTAGATGTCAATTCTCTCCTTTCACCAAGTGGGTTTCAGGGTTCAGGCTCAGGTCATCAGGCTTGGAAGCTGGCACCTGAGCCCTCTGAACCATCACTCCAACCCCTATGATAACCTCTTGATTCCCAAGAGGTGAGAAGTTTGTCTCCCACTTATATTCTTGGCCAAGAATGAAAGCCCCTTTCAGTGCTCATCTGACCCATGGTCTTGTTACTGGTTTCACAATTGGGGGAGGGGGTCAGGGGGAGGCCTAGTTTAGATGCAAAACCTGGTACCAAATCCAGGCCGCGCTATGCCAGTCCCGGGCTGAGCCCATCACACTGAACCCAGCCCTGGAGGCTGTCCCAAACACATAAAACAATCTTCCTACCCCCGTTCCTTGTTACTCTGCGCCGACTCTAGGACTGAGGATGAGATGCTATTAGCTAGGCAAGCTGCTTTTCTCAAGACCCTTGAAGACCACTCCATCTCATCCCTCCTCAGCCCAGTCTCCCTATCCTCTCAGCCCACTTCTCCTGGCCCACCTGCCTGTTCCTAGCTTTCCTGGTTCCCTCTATACTTATCTCCTCTCTTAAACCTGGATTCTGTTCTCTTCTCTGGGTTTTTCACCACGGGATCAAATCTGAGATATATGACAATCTAGCTGAAATCCAAAGTCCTAAACCAAAGACTGATTATCCTTGGTGGGGGTAGAGGTGGCGGTTCAAACAATGGTTTGAAAATTGCACAGAAAACACTTTTTTCTCTCCTAGAAAAAGGACTCACAGACAATTTTAGGGGATTCATAGACTCACACTAATACCACCTCAGTCTTTTCTATACCCAAACCACTGCCTGTGCCCACACACTCTGATTACATGTTGAATATCTTCATGGTACATAAGGGCCGGGCTTGCTAGTTTCCCATTTCACAGCTAGAAATTCCAAGCTGGGGAGAAACAGTACCTGTATAACATGGCAGACGGAGAGTTGAGCAGAACCATCTAGTAATAATATTATTTTATTATTCATAATAATTCTATATTAAAAAGTAAATTCCTGCCAGAAGGTGGTGGTGCACACCTTTAATCCCAGCACTCAGAGTCAGAGGCAGGAGGATCTCTGAGTTCAAGACCAGCCTAGTCTACAGAGTGAGTTCCAGGACAGCCAGGGCTACAGAGAAACCCTGTCAAAAAAAAAAAAACAACCATATTCTCTACACATATACACCACAAAGAAGTGTAGAGCTGTCTCCAAGAGTTATCTTAGCTACTTTCGGGTAAATGGACAGAGGAGAAGGAGCAGGGATTATGGGAAAATCTCACTAGAAAATATACTCCCAACCCTCATCCTCAGTCCTGCCCCACTATCCACTCTACAAGGCAGAGGGGCTAGACGTGTATTTCAGTGGCAAAACACTCAACATGTGTGAAACCCTGGGTTCGACCCACTAACACGTAAATAAAATAAAATGAGGTGAAGGAATAAACCTGTCTTCAAAGTGTCCCCCCAGCCACGGGCTGGTTTGCCCTCAAGTTAAAAGGGTGTCCCACCTAAGGTCAAAAATGTATCTCCCATTACGCCGGGGGGGGGGGGGGACATCGCCACTCAGTACCACCACCACCACTGCCAGGCACACAGGGAATGTCGCCGGTGCCTTCTATCCTGCCCCCCGCCTGGGGTAGGTTGCACCTATGTCCAGCCCACCTAGCCTAAGGCCGCAGCTCGCTCCCAGGCCCAAACCCCCAGAGAAGCGGCAGGACTCACGATCATCTTCTTATAGAGACCATAATGCAGGACCAGGCTATGAGTCAATGCCAGGCGATGGGGCTTCATCGGGTGCCCAGCTCCTGGGGGTAGGGAAAGAAAGAGTTGGTCAGTTCCCACCCCGAGAGTTGCAGCCCTTCCCACGAAACCTCTCCTCCCGCACAATCCTGTGCCCTACCGTAGTGGAAGTTGCCCACGTCGGGGTCGTAGAAATACGCCACGGTCTTGGCCATGGTGCTGGGGGACCAGGCCCCGAGCCTCAGCCGCCCGCCCGCCGCCGCCGGCCGCCAGCCCCACCCCCGCCGTGCGTGCTGCGCAAGCACGCAGCCTACCTCTGCGGAAAGGAGACCTCGGCCCCGCCTCCCAAGATCACGTCAGGCCACGCCCCTCACGGGTGCCCCGCCCCTTATGGGAGTTCTGCCCCCTGCTTTGCTGTCCTGGTCCGGATTCTGAGGCTTGAGACTCCGCGCTTGGGCGGGGACCCGTGGCATTATTCATAGGATTATAGGGCCGTTTCTTTCTGGGCGAGGGTCATATCCTCGGGAAACCGAGTCGTCATCCCGTCCAGCCGCTAGCCCCAGATGGGTCTTTGGGACAGTGGTCCCTCTCTAGGAACCTTGGAAGATCTGGCCACCCTGCCCCTCTCAGGTGCAGAAAGACAGATTTTCCCAGTGCGCTAGGAAGATTGCTGGCTTTCTACTCGTCCGGGGGACCTGAGAGCAAGACCTGTGCCGGATGTGAGGGATAGACCGGTGGCCAAAGCCCCTCCTGACCTCCCGACCACCCACGAGGATCCAGGCTCGCGCCGCACAGTCCTCCTGGGGAAGGGGGGGCGGCGCAGTCACGCGCCCATCTCACTTGCGTTCACACACGCGTAAGGCTCACGCTCTCCGCCCCGCACACCTGTGCTCCGCCTCTTGGTCCTGGGCCCGCGGCGCGAGAAGGCATTTGGGAACCCGGGACAGTTTCAGAGGCGCCCCTCCCCGCCCCCGCCCCCGCCCCGCCATCCCCTCCATTTTTCGGGCAGGAGTGGTCCAGAGCCTGCCGCGGCTCCCAACCGGCCCACATCCCTCGCCATCCTTCCCTCCCCCCGTCTGCCGCGGCCCCGGTATCCGCAGCCACCAGCCCGGAGCCGGTGAGGCGGCAAAGGGGGGAGGGGGAGGAAGCAAGGGATGAGCTCCGGGAGGGCGTCGGGGGCCCTGAGCCGGACGAGGACGCCCCTGGAACCGGGACCCGAGCCGGAGCCGGAGCCGGAGACAGAACCAAACCACCGGTACCGGGTGGGCCAGGTGGTCAGGGTGGGATAAACCGGAAAAGAAGGGACCCAGAAATGCAGGGAGGGGAGGGGGCGGCCCGAGGCCTGGCTCAGGCCGGTGTAGAGGAGGTATCAACACTGACTCAAGCGTGTTTTCTGGGCTCGCTCTCTGAGAATTTCGTCCCATCTTGTGCTGCAGTGTCCTTGGAAGGGACGGGGGCTCGGGATGAGCTGTAAAGGATAGCTTTCTGGATGTCAGAAAAAATGGGACTGGGTCGCCGCAGAGGGCTTTTGCCTCCAGCCTGCGGCGGTCTTGGCCGACTAGCACCCTTAGTCCGGACAGCTCCTTGATTCGGTGGGGGGTGGGGCGGATCTCCCATTGCGGATCCTAAGATGCTTTCTTACTCTGCGGGTACCCAGCTGCAGCCCACTAAACCCAGGAGGCGCCCTGGCCCGCGCTCGCCCCCCAGGGCCTCATGTCGGAACCACAGCCTGACCTGGAGCCGCCCCAACATGGGCTGTACATGCTCTTCCTGCTTGTGCTGGTCTTCTTCCTCATGGGCCTTGTAGGCTTCATGATCTGCCACGTGCTCAAGAAGAAAGGCTACCGCTGCCGCACGTCTAGGGGTTCAGAGCCTGATGATGCCCAGCTCCAGCCCCGTGAGTGAGGAGCCTAGAAACCTAATTAAGGCACCTTTCTCTCTTACCCTTCTCCCCAAACTTTTTTCTGCCTCCCTGGCCGACAGACACAGCCCAAATCCTAATGAAGCTCAAAAGACTATGATGCTTTTTTGAGTCTGCATGTAAAGTGACACCACCCCGAAATTTTGAGGCTAGAGAAGGGGGTCCACTCATGGTAGCCCTAGGAGCCCATGTCTTCTCCTACCCTTTCAGGCCTGATGCATGAAGGCACATAGGTAAAGGGATATGTCTTCAGTCATCACCCATGGGGCCATCGGGTCATATTCCCCCAAAGCTGACTCATTTCCCACATCCTTGCCAACCTCTTTCATCTTTCAGCTGAAGACGATGACGTGAATGAGGACACAGTAGAGAGGATTGTTCGCTGCATCATCCAAAATGAAGGTGGGTATAGGCCAAAAGCTTGCTCCTTCCCAAACTGACTTTCTCTTGCCCTGACCTCCACCTCCGCTGACTCCATCTCCCTCTCCCATCAGCCAATGCTGAGGCCTTGAAGGAGATGCTAGGGGACAGTGAAGGAGAAGGGACAGTTCAGCTCTCCAGGTGAGCTGGAAACAAGGGCCAGCATGACTTATCTTACCTTGGCGTCCCCTCTCCTCCAATACAGTCTTCCAAAGGACCATGGGAGTTTGGGGGTGGGGGTCAGGTAGGCCAAGGCTAGCTAACCTATGGAAGTTTATAGAAACCTTTTATCCTTTATCTCCCATCTAGATACCATCCAGCCTAACACCTCTGGTGTCACTTTCTTTGGTTGAGCATTGCTCTCTTTAGTAAACAGGGTGGAAAGGAAGACTACATGACCACTCATGTCTTAGCATTGAATTTTACTAAAGACAAAAGGATGTTGGAACCTGGGGGAGGTGGGGCTTTGGGGAGGATTAAAGAACATATTGAAAGGACAGAAGCAAACGGCGGGAAGGAGAATGAAAATATCCTTTCTTGCTCCCTTTCTTCCTGTGGTCCAGTGTGGATGCCACCTCCAGCCTGCAGGATGGAGCCCCTTCCCATCATCACACGGTGCATCTTGGCTCTGCAGCTCCTTGCATCCACTGTAGCCGCAACAAGAGGCCCCCACTTGTCCGTCAGGGTCGCTCTAAGGAAGGAAAAGGCCGCCCCCGGCCCGGAGAGACCACTGTTTTCTCAGTGGGCAGGTGGGGACACGGTGGTTCAAGAAAAGGGAGGTTGAGTTGGTGCCCAATAATCCTGTCCCCCAAAGGTGGAGCCCCAATTCTTTCCTCCGAATGACTGAGTGACTGCAGCAGGGGTCAAGCTGCACAGAGTGTCCCACAGTCTCAGAAGGCCTCCCTACCCCAGGCCAGAGAATTTACCATCAACCCCAGGGAGGGAGGTTTAGGTGACCTTTGAGCTGTAGTCCTAAACTGCGATGTTCTCTTCCCGCCCAGGTTCCGAGTGACACATATTGAGAAGCGCTATGGCCTACATGAACATCGTGATGGTTCCCCTACAGACAGAAGCTGGGGCTCTGGTGGGGGCCAGGAAGCAGGGGCCAGTCAGGTGGCTGGGGGAGGGCAGCCTAGGACAGGGACGGCTGCCACCGAGAGGCTGCTCCCTGAGCCACCACCCTCCCAGGCTGTAACCACCCACCCAGTGCAGAATGGAGGACTCAAGGATGACAGCCTAGTCCCTAGTACACTTGAGGGAACCCCGGCAACCTCTGCAGAACTGAACTTGGGCACTCGAGGAAGAGGCCCAAGCCTAGGGCTGCCTACTCAGGAGGCAAACGGACAGCCAACCAAACTGGACACCTCAGGTCAGCAGGTATGAAGACATGGTCAGGGCTGCATTGGGCAGTGGTGGACACATCTTATAACGTCCCTAATCTGAGCAACACTGGCGGTCCACCTCCCGTTCCCACTGAATACTTGCCCTTCTCTCAGGAGTCTCTACCACCAGAAGAAGGGGGTGTGTGAGGCGAGTCTCCCTGAGCTTGAGATCAGGTAACCTCATCTTCCCACCCTCTGCCTAAACCACCCCAGCCCACCCAACCCCCTGAACCCTTGGGGAGAACTCTAAGCTTAGTGTGTGTTCCAGAATCCCTGGCTGGCGGTGGGGATGGGGAGTGGGCATAGAGGTCCTGCAGGAGTTCGATTTACACTCTCTGGAGAAGACGTGGATCGGAGCAACACTGTTCCCCGCTTCCTTTCTTCCAAGCCTCAGTCTCCACTGTGCTGATGGATTACCAGCAGGCATTGCCAGGGTATGGATAGCCATGAAGGCTCTCCCCTCCACTGGACAGCACTGCTCCTCATTTGAGGGACCAGCTCTACTTCCATCCGGAGTTACGTGGTCCCAGGCTGAGGGACCTCAGGAGGAGCCCCTCCCAACTCCCCACCCCTCACTCTTTTCCTTTCCCCACCTGCCAACAGGTTGCCTGGCCTGCCTTCCCCCAAAACCTCGCTCCAAAACATGCAAGAGCGTGGCAGCTGGGACCAGGCCCTACCCTTGGTGGGCCCCTAAAGCAATAGCACCTTAGGCTTCCTGCCCTCTTGGCACAAGAGGCCCAGGCCCTGGCTTGGACTTCATGCCCTTTATTCACTGTCAATAAATCCGCTCAGACCATTACAGTTGCTTTGCATCCTGGCTTCAGCTCCTTCTGACATCCAAGATCTGCTCCTCCCCCCGGCTCCAGGCCTAGTGACCCTGGCATTCAGGGTGGGGTTGGCCACAGAGGCAGGGTGAAGACAGAGATGAGCCAGAGCCATACAAGGCTTTAAGGAATGGGTTCCAGCCCCAGAGATTTAGGGGATGTTTTACCACCCTAGATATGGGGTGATGGCAAAAAGTCAAAGGGGCAGTTCCAGCCCAGAGATGACGGGGGAACCGTGGAGGAAAGGAGTGGGTTCAAATCCCAGAAATGGGAACAGGGTAAGTTTCTACCCCTGGAGGTTGAGAGTGAACGTGGGGGAAGATTGCAGCTTTTGCCTCTGTCGCTCCAGATCATTGAGGGGGTGGTTCCTGTCAGCACGGAGAGAGGGGCAGCAGCATCGGTGGGGGACAGTGACCCGCCCCCGGCCTTCAGGTGAGGGGATCTGGATGGCCAGGGTCCGGGGCTTTGGCTGGTGGAGGAGGTGGTGGACGCATCTGTAGGGGATACACATAATTAGTGCTCCAGAGTCCCTCTTGGGGCCGTCCCTGTCCATTACCTCTGCCCAGCAAACAAAACAGGACCCAAAGGAATGACCCTTCCGTACAATCTTCTCCAAGACAGAGGCCCTTACCGGCCTGAGTCGAGGCACCATCATGTCCAGGGGTCCTGGGCAGTCTAGGACTTTGTCTAGAAATAGAAACCAGAAGTCAATTCTCAAGCATTGTTGGGCTCCATGCTGCATCTCCAGCACTAAGGATAGTGACACTTTATAAATACTTGTTGACTAAGCAAAAAACAAAACAAAAAAAAACACCAGCCTGAGCTATAAAATCCATTAGTCCATCCATCCTCAAATACTTAATGCACTGTACAAAGTACCAAAGAAAGGAGATGGAGTACAAAGCTCCTCTTAAAATAGCTATTGAGAATACCATGGTACACACACACACACACACACACACACACACACACACACACACAGAGGGGGGGAGAAAGGGGGAAAGAGAGAGAATGCCTAAGTCCTAACTTATTCAAAGTGAAGTAGGGGTGCTGGAAGAGGTGATAGTGACTGGAGTCAGGGAGCCTGGCTTGGAGAAGTGGACATTACTAGAATGCATTAGAAAGGCTGAGTATTTCATGGTGAAAACTAGGGGGCTGGGGACATAACTAGGGGTAGATATGCTTGCCTAGCATAAACAAGATCCTAGTTTGATCCCCGGCACCTCCAAAAATATAGAGAGAAATGAATCCAAAGGTAAGTATTATATTTCAGAGTTCAAGGACACTAAGAGGAAAAGGTACATTTTGGGAGAATGTAAGAATGCCATGAGAAAAGATAGATAATTTTAAAAATAATGATGATCTAAAACACCATGTTTCCTATGTGCCAATCACAATGTTATATCTCCTTCTCCTCCTTCTTCTTTTTTTGGTTTTTCAAGACAGGGTTTCTCTGTCCTAGAACTCACTTTGTAGATCAGGCTGGCCTCGGACTCACAGAGATCCACCTGCCTCTGCCTCCCGAGTGCTGGGATTAAAAGGCGCACGCCGCCGCCACCACCCAGCAACGCTGTATACTCTGAACAGACATCTTGGTTAACTTTTCCTTCTTATATGTTTTGCTTGCATGAATGTCTGTGTGCCACATGCAATTGGCTGGTGCTCACTGGGATCAGAAGAGTGTGTCAGATCTAGTGGGACTGGAGTTACGGATGGTTGTGAGCTCGCATGCGAGTGCTGGGAATCAAACTTGGGTCCTCTGCAAGAGCAACAAGTGCTCTTAACCACTGAGCCATCTCTCCAGCCCCTGATAACAATTCAATAAAGCAGTGCCTTTCCCTTCACTTTATAAAGAGTGTATGTAAACCAAGCTAGGCTAGTGACTCGTACTTCTAATCTCAACACATGGGGGAGGCTGGGGCAGGGGGAGTGCTAGCTTAAGGCGAGCCCTATCTCCAAAGACTAAAGCATAACAACAGAAAACCTAGACCAAGGACCAGACAGGTTAAGCCTTCCACCTCAAGTCATACAATAGAAAGGGACAGAGGACTTTGAACCTGGCTCCAAATCCAAGCTCTCCTCCTCTTCAATGTGCCATGGGCCTTATTGCAAGGTACACCCAGGGCACACAGGAGCAGGTAAGGCAGAGTCCAAACTTCTTCCTGGCCACTACTTAGGCTCCGAGGCTCCAATTCTCTCTACTCACCCACAGGCAGAGCAGGTGCAGTGGATCCTTCCAAGGCACAGGTGGGTGCAGGAGGGGAAAAACTGGGAGGAGAAGGGGATGGCAGCGTCTAGAGACAGGGTAGGCATCCGTCATTCCTGGTCCGTGGAAGGCTTAACCGGCGTTTCCTCTCACCCCACTCTGTTTCTCTCCCATTCCTTCTCAACACCGAAAGCAGCCAGCCAAACGAGGGCTGTCACTGATACATATTTCAACAGCCAATGTGTACCGACTAGTTGTTAGGCGACAGGTATTCTGCCGACACTGCACGTATACAAACGTCCTCAACCCTCACCACCACCCTGTGAGCTATGGATTCTGACGGCTGCTACAGGAGACGTGAGATTCAGATGGAGCCATCTGTCAGAATCGGGGTTACTTAGTGGGGGAGTACTGGCCGGACCTGGGGTGTTCTGACTTTCCTGTCATGATCCCTGCTGTCTCATGACAGGGCAACACAAATTCAAACACTTCTGGTATAACCCGGGGCTAAGGAGTCTACCTCTATCGTCTCTAGTCGTGACAGTGAGCCTGTTTAAACAGCTCTTGCTTCTATTGGACACACGAAGAAGGCAGCTCCGAGGAGTTAAATAACCACCCAATGTCACGCTATAGCCATCTGTACTCAGGCCTAGCCGGCCCTAAAGTTCCCAAACTCCTACGAAGGGTGCCTTGGTTTCTATTTCCTCTTCCTAGCAAAAGCACACAGGGAGGCCTAAGCTACCATAGGAGGCCAAGCTGGGGAGGAAACGGGGCTTTAAGATTAACATGGAGCCCTCCCTGCTGAGGTGCAAGGGTCAACCCAGAGGTACTTGGGAACTGAAGGAGAATGAAGCTTCACCTGCTCGGGGTCAGAGAGTTCAGGTGGCCCTGGGGGGCCAAGCAGTTCCTCTACCAGTAGGGATGGAAAGACTCCAACGTGGCCCCCAAACTCTCCCCTCCAGAAGCCATCATCCACGCCATCTTGAGCCCTGGGCAGCAGGCGGATGAGTGCCCCTTCCGGGAAGCTTAGCTCCTCTTCACTCTGTCCAGTGTAGCTGTACAGGGCCCGGGCCAGGAATGCTACGGGAGCCCAGGAGAGAAGATGGACTAAGGCAGTGGACGGTTGCGCCACGCCACTCTACGACCATCCAATAAGCTGTCCCTACACCCACGGTCCCTGAATCCAAAACTTCCTTTCTTTACCCGTGGGCTCTGCTCCCGAGGGATGGCTGCCGCCGTGGCTGCTCTCAGGAAGGGAGAGATCCGGGAAGTTGAGGTATCGCTCGGGGACAAAGCCTGCTTCGCCATGCTGATTCCGAGCCTGCTCACCCAGCAATGCAAACAGGTATCAGACTCGCTCAGCAGTCCGTGACCTTGGCTCTTCAATACTCAAGTTTCTGGCATTGCCTGGATGAGTCCTTGGGAGCCACACACAAGTCCTCCCACCACCCCCAATCCAGGGTCCCACACTCACCTTCACCCACTCATCGGCATCTCCTTCCTCTATGACCTCCAGCCACTCACCCTCTGTGATAGTCAGCTCATCCTCGCGTCCTGCCTAAGCCCCACAAGGAAGGAGTCAGGGTTTGCCCCTCCCACTCCCCCACCCCACCCCCCCGTTGCCCACCCGAAGTTTCCAGACCCTTTCACACCTGGTAGCCAAACACCACATGTGCAGGGCAGGGGAGGGGTCTGGTAGCCAGGGCTGGCGGGGCAGGCTCTTCAAAGAGCTCCCCAGCCTCCTCACATTCATCGAAGTCAGAAAGCTCGGCATCCTCAGCCTGGAGAGGGGTAGAGGACAGGCTCTGTCTCAAGTACTGCATGGATCTCCCACACCCCTCTCTTACCTCTAAGGGGCACTGGGAATCCTCCTTCAGGACAGTAGCCCCTCAACCAATCATAACTCACAACCAAAACCACCATAGGGCAGGATGATACTAAATAATAGCAATTACCACAATTAGGTGCTTAATATGAAGAACTTGTATATATATATATTGCTTCATTTAAGCTTCAGTGTAACCCAGTGTTATTTTATATAGCTATATTAACCTTACTCTACTTTTGAAGAAACTCAGGCTCACAAAGGTTAAGTCATTTGCCAAGGTCACATGGCTATTAAGTGGTTGGCATTCAGTTAATTTACAGACTGCTCCTAGAACCATGGTTGGTTGGTTTGTTTGTTTGTTTGGTTGGTTGGTTGGTTTTTGGTTTTTTCAAGACAGAGTAGCCCTGGTTGACCTAGAACTCACTCTGTAAATCAGGCTGGCCTCAGACTCACAGAGATCCACCTGCCTCTGCGTCCCAAGTGCTGGGGAGGGGGGGTCAAAGACATGCACCACCACCGCCCAGCAGAACCATGGTTCTTAATCACCACATTAGAAGTGTATTGAGGGGGGGGCTGGAGAGATGGCTCAGAGGTTAAGAGCACTGGCTGTTCTTCCAGAGGTCCTGAGTTCAATTCCCAGCAACCACATGGTGGCTCACAAC